CTTCTAGATGATAAGGTCTTTAGAAAACCTGGAATCAGTGAAGGCATCTTTTTGCTCATCAGTTTAGCAGAAGTGAGCAAGGAATTTTTTTTGTAATTTCACAAATAAAATTGCGGGTAATTTTAACTCTCAAAAGATTGTTTTGTGGCCATCGGAATACATTACTCATTTGTTTATTAAATCATTTATTCAATAAATATCTATTAATAGTTTAATACTAATAAATCAATATACTGGCTATACGTATAGAGGTGGTAAAATGCATATATAAATAAATGTAATACTCAATAAGAAGTGACAAGTGCTTTGGGGGAGACAGAGAGAGAAAGCCATGGAAGGAAGTAGAAGAGGAAGATTATGTCCAGAGTGGAGGGATTGTATGGAGGGCAGACTGCATGGAATATATACCCTTTGTATTAGCCTAAGAATAGAGCAGGTTTGAACATATAAGAGGAGTTTATAAAGGAAAATCCAAGTGACAAATGAGTGTCACTTGGAACAAATGTACTGAGGTGGGAAAGTGTGAAGCATTTGCTAGTAACAGCTAAACGCTTAGAATACAGGGACGTAATTAAAAGGAGGGGAGGAGCTCATTGGATGGTGCCAGATCACTGATGCCAGGATAAGAAGCTGTAATTTATTCCTTAAAATAGGTTTTTAAACATCCAGTTAACAGTTTTAGAGGAGTTTTGATTTACAGAATTTAATCTGTCTATGGTTTGTGGAGTAAATTTGGGAAGCAGCAGAATCTAGAAGCAAGAGGATTCCATTAGCAAACAGTTAGAAATAAGAGGACGAAAACTGCATAGTGACCATGATAACAGAGAATGGATAAGAGCCAAAATACTTCTGAAAAAAATAGGAAGTATTTGGGAAATGATTGGATGAGGCACAGAAAAGAAAGGTGCTGAAAGGTTGTTTTCCTCATCTTATGTTACACCGCTGGAAGACAATAGCGGACATTCAAAGAGAAGCTGTAGGGAAGGGACGGCAAATTCGCAGTTCTGTGTTAGAGACACTGAGCAAAGTCAGAAGGATTTCATTTTAAAGAAAACGTCTGATGAGTAATTGGAGAAGCACAACCAATGCAGAGAGAAGAAGTGAGAAAAGAAAACACAGATTAGGATTCAGCCTCACAGAGGCAACAGTTAAAGGCATATGATGAATGAGCTTTTACAGGTAAAGAGCAGAAAGAGAGAAAAGTGCCACTCAGAGACCCTTCGGAGGACTACATTTTGGGACAAGAGAAGATAATTATTAAATGCAAATCATACAAAACAATATTATAATGGTATATTGTACTCATGTCACAGATGCGAAACTAAGAACTTGACTAAGATCTGACAGCCAACAAGGGGAAGGAAGAAGAAAGGGCATCAATAAGAATGATAAAATGAATAGTTAAATTGGTAGAAGGAAAATCCTCTCTAGAACAATGCAAGTAGTCAGAGGTGAAAAGACTTTCAAGCCGGGAGGCTGAGGAATTGTAAGTGCTTTCAAAGGAAGAAGTTAAGGAAAAGCTATTGAAGTTCAGAATCAATGGGGCCCTTTCAGAAAGAAGTTATTGTAGAGGTGGGAGCAGGATCCCAATTCTGTTTAGAAGGTCAAGAGGAGTTGAGGGAGTATTAGAAAGTATCCTTTCAATAAAGTTTCCAGTGAAGGGTATAGAAAATATATGCCCCTAGTTTAAATGAGCAGTAGGATGGAGTGAAGATGTATTTTAGTTTAGGACAGAACTTAATTGAGCAGTTTTGTAAGCTCAGGGGGACAATCTGGAAATCAAAAGAATAAAACATAAATGTAATAGTCAGTGAGCAAGTGGCTGAAAAAGTAGTCGGGAAAAAGCTGGCTGAGGGCGAAGGAGTGAATGCTAGCCAACAATGGTAGGAAAGGAGATATTCTTTCCTCTGAGACAAGAGGAAGAGGCCACGAGGAGATACATACACATACTGAGAAAGCGACTGAGAGAATTTAGATTTTATAATCGAGGGAGTTTGGATTTTATGCCTTGCATTAATCTTGAAAAGAGTCCAAAACTTTTAGAAAAGATTCCATTAAAAATGAGGTAGATGATCAAATAAATATAGATGACAGGATTGTTGGCTATTTGTGGACAAAGCTGAGAGTCGATTACATGGACTTGCAGTATGACCAGTTGACCCCATGTTATTACTTTTTCAATGATTCTCTGGGTTGGAAGAGCAGAAGTGGATGAGAGGAAGGTTTGAGTTTGCCCGGGCACAGATATTTACAAAAAGAGAATTGGATCAGATAAGGCAAAGACAGAGAATGTAGGGTGTTAAGCTAGTTTTGCACGGACATGCCAGAATCTCAGAGAGGAGAGTGGGAGGATGACAGCGAACAATTCCCAAAGAGAGTTATTATGTGAGAATATGGAGTAGCTAAGGAACCAGGATCACCAGGGAAGGATGAAAAGTAACTTCGATAGGATTGAAATGAGAGGGGCTATAAAATAGAAAGTTGTGTTCAGAGAGGCAGATTTCAGTGTTCAACATCTTGGAGATGAAGTAGTTCCAAATGATTTTGAAATCCAAAATGAAGGTGTGTGTATGGGGAGCTAAAATTAAGTGAGGGATACTTAAGACTTTTGTTTGAAGGATTAACATCAACAACAACAACATATATATCACCTGACTGTATTAACCATTTATTATGTGCCAGGCACTGTGCTGCGTGCTTTCCTTTTTTTAACTCCATTCATCTTCACCTACTTACTGTGTGGTGGGTAGTGTTCACAGCCATGGGGCTGATTATTTTTCCCCCAACAAAATTGATTGAATTGGTTGATTGGTTTGACATTGTATAGACACAACTTTAAAAAGCAAATAATCTCAGCTAATTCAACTATAATCAAGGTTTTTAATTTTCTTGGCACCCTGAACACAAAGTCCGCACAGGCATATGTAAATAGTTCATTAGGGACGTTACAAAGCAGTTAACTTAGAATGCAACATGTTGCATAACACTGGCTATGTCAGTAGATATTATTTAAGGCACAGTCTCTAGAGAGAGAGGTAACTTGACATTGCAAATACAAAAAATCTCTCTAGGAGCATCTGTCTTCAGAAAATAGAGGATTTTTTTGAAGAACTGTAATTTTATAAAAATTTTTCTTGCTTTTCAAGTGTAAGAGAAACTTTCCTGAATCATTTTGTAGTTCCCTATATAATTTATTTTAGCAATTTATTATACATTTGTCACATATTAATAGGAATTATGATCAACTGTAGGATGAAATTCAATACATGTATTTAAGTGCATTAGTACTTTTATTAGTAAATAGATAAGTGGATAGGCACTCTGAACTGATTGTTAAAAATGTATCACTTATTCTTAAGCACTTGGTTGCGTTATGATAGGATAATTGTAGCAATTTTTGTTCCTCGTTTCTTTAAATTGACTATCCAGTGCTGTAACACCTTCTATAGTTAGTATTGCCATAGAGTTCCAAAACCTCTATCAGGCGAGGGTTGTGGCTACTCCATAATTACCATCTGTTTAGCTTTGTTAGTATTTCTCATTATAACTCAGAAGGTCAATGATACTGTTCATGATAGGAACCCAGCAAGATTAGAAGTAATAAAACAGCTCTGAGACTAAGCGAGGCCCTGCTACCCCAACTGATGGACAGTTAATTACCTGAGTATAAAATGATGAGAGCACTGGGAGAAATAGGGAACTTTGCAATATGGTGAATATCCCAGTACAATATTACTTGGTGGTTTTTCAGTGAGGTACACTGTTCAATTAGAAGACATGAGCATATCCTGTGGCAGAAGACGATATAATTTCGAGAAAAGCAAAACATTTTGTTCTGTAACAGTTTCAGACTACTTGGATGAGAATTCCAAATCTAAATTACTAGACCAGTGTTCTCGTCTTTAGCAGCACATTAGTCTCACCTGGGAACTTCACACGATACTGAAGGTCTGGCCCCACCCCAGGCCAATTAAATCTGTATCTGCAGAGAGTGGTATCCAAGCGTTAAAATTATTTTTAAAGGTGCCTCAGGTGCTGCTAATGCGCTACGAAGGTTAAAAACCACTATGCTACAATTAACATTCAAAAATAATCATTGCCAGTATAGATAGGTCCATTTGTGAACAACTAGAATTTTCTTTTTTAGTTTTAATTCTTACTGCTAATATAAAAAGGTTTGTGTAGTTCACACATTAACCATTGACTTAATTAATATTTTTAAATTAATTAATAATTCAGTTAACACATTTGACCTCTTAGTTCCTATAAAGAAATTTTGAATGTGAAAAACAAAAGGCCTTTATTCCTAGGAAAAAGTTTTAGAATCTGTGCCAAATGTCCTTCTAAACCTCTGAATAGCATATGAGATTTATGTTTATCCATAGGGTTATGTGATTAATTCTATCATTTTAATTAAGGCAAGAGGAGAATAAACAATTGGATGTAAAGCTCTTATGTTAAAAAATACTTAGATAACTTTTCTTAGGTATTTATTGCCTGTAAACATTTTGTAACATTTAATATTTTTCGTATGTAAATAAGCTGTAGATCTTTTCATAGAGAAGCCATTACCACAGATTTTTCAAGAGTTCACATTAAAATGCTTTATAGTTAGGTGACAAAAGATCACAACTGGGAGTTTCATGACGAGTTAATCTCTTTAATTATAGTGCTAAGAGGACTAAATTCTCTTCACGATATCTTTCAGAAGATTGTAGGTGCCCCAGTCTTAAGTGGCCAGTGTTCCTTCCGTGTATCTATTTGATCGCCTATAAGAAAAACACATACTAATCTAAATTTAGTTTTACAGAAAATGTGAAATAAAATGCTATTTATTAATTTTAAGACCTCTTACATCTTGGCTTTATGTTTCCAGTTTGAGGTTTTTGAGTACTTTTTTTTTTTATTTAAAATGTCTCAGATATATTTGCTACAGTGTCATTAAACTCCACACATTGTTTTCAAAAGATATTCTTTTCTTTTTTGTTTTTTTCAACTAGGACCCCTACTATGGCTGGTGGCCTATTTTCTATTGACAGAAACTACTTTGAAGAGATAGGAACTTACGATGCAGGAATGGATATCTGGGGTGGAGAGAATCTTGAAATGTCTTTTAGGGTAATTGCATTTTACTTTATTTTTTGATGCTGAACATACTATGCTGTAGCATGCACATATTAGACACAATAATTTACTGTAAAATCTTTTTCTGAAGTGATGCAAATTACTGATCGACTGGTCATTTTAATACTTATTTAGAAGCTTTGCTAAAGTCCTTTTGCATGCAATATTTACTGTTAATTGGGAAATTGCAGGTATTTTAAAGTTTTCAAAGATAATTCTTTTATTCATACTGCAAAGACATTAAGGCTTTCAATTTTTTAAATAAAGAAGGGTTTTATTTTTTAAATAAAGCATTACCCTATAAAATCGCTTTGTGTTTTTGAGCTGAAGTTTGGGAGTGTTTATGTTATCTGAATTTGCAAGTTCTGCCTGAAGTTATTATCAAATAACTTTGAGAATGACCTGTGGTCATAGGAATTCTGAATAATTCTGCAAGAAGCATGACTGTTATCACAGTCACAGACATTATTGTTTGATGAATTAGTTTGAATAATACAAATTCACTTGTTAACGACCTTCCAAGTAAGTGAAAATTGAGTTAATCCTTCATATATATGATATTAGGAAGCATATTAATAATTTTAATATTTTATTGTATTCAGAAATTTAAAATACGGACACATAAATTGCCTTGATGCTAAGAAATGATGTGTTGTCATGCTGTTTTTTCCTTCAAACAACACACAGTATCATTTTTTAAAGGATTTAAGTTAATAATACTGTTCTTTTTTCCTTCCTAGAATTTATCACTCTATTGTTTTGAGGAAATTATTTGTACAATGAAATTATTAGATTTTAGATATATTTATCTGTGAAATTCAAGAGTTGTACCATTTAATTTCTCATTTAGAAAGCAAAGTTGTTTTTCACTAACATAGTAAAATATTTCTGATGTATACAAAAATGTCAAAATTTGAGAATAAGAATTATTTTTAATTTTTATAATGTGGAATTTAGAGGATCAATTTGAGGATAAGAATTACTTTGAATTTATATACTCTGAAGCAATAGAATGACCTTGTTATACAATTTTTTTTTTTTTTTGCCTATAAACCTTCCTTGTAGTCAGGTGTCTAAGAATATCACTAGTTAATGGGATTTTGTTATTCCCATATTTGCTTATATACTTATAGTCTCATGGAACTTGCCCCACAGGACTCAGTATCATACTCAGGAATGTGTTCTTACTATGAGGCCCATAAATACATCTTTTCACCACTTTTGGGGACCCAATCTTGTTACTCGGTATAGTTCTCAACATGAAAAGAATAAGAAATGACAGTTTAAAAAAAAAGAAGGAAAAAGAGAAAGAAGGAAGAGAAAAAAGAAAGGAAAGAAAGATAATTTATTCAAAAGCTCAAAAGCAATTTGCTGTTACCCTTAGATACAATGATGAGAGTATTTATGCATCTGTTAACCGATATCCCTTGGCTATTGCACTGGGATTACATAAGAAAAAAAAATCAACATAGCAATATTGCCATTATTTGTGATCATATTGCCCATCTTTTTTTCTTCTTTGCTAAAATTCTTATTCACCTCTGTTTTCTCCACCTGTTCGACTTAATTCTCTGCCAATGGATCCCCCTTACTTTCGTTACATAGCTCCCAGATTGGATGGATGCTCTTTATCTAACTGATTAAAAGATGTGTTAGAGAGGAATTCAGTGGAATAATGTAATAAACCAGGAGAGTGTGATCAGGAAATGCAACATGGGCATAAATGTAGCAAAAAGGAAGATTTGAGAATGTGGTAGGTGATGCAGATACCAGGGCACAGAGTGAATGCAACTAGTGGCTGTAAGAATGATCAGATCCCCAGAAGATGACACAGGAGTTTTTCTGTGATTGGTTGTTTGAGATTATTAAGAACTAAAGTTCTCATAGTGACTGTTTTTCAAATGTTTTAAGACATATCATTGTCTTTAGTTTCCATATATTTCAATAGAAGCAAAATATATGTTTTGCTTTTTACTTGACTCTCTATTCATGTTTTACTTTCCTTTCCGTGACACAAATATAAGCGTTTGCTTAGTAGTCAGTATCCTAGCTGAGGAAGATATTAAGTAAGAGAAAATGCTGGAATAGTACATTAGCAACAGAATGAGACTTCCCCTTTAGATTAATCCTATGAAAAGATGTGTGACTTAATGAAATGAGAATATGTTGAGGATTTATAATCAGAAGACATGAGTCTAATATCCAACTCAGTCATTATACAGCAAACACATATGGAGCATATAGTATGTGCTTTACATTTTCCAGATGCTGAGGCTACAAAAATGAATACGGCATGATGCTTTTACTCTCAAAGAACCCATTCCTATGAGAGAGATACACAGATATTATTGAAAATAAAATATAATCATTTCTTTTATAAATTTATGTATGAGGTCTTCTTGTCTTTATCATGTTAGTACAGGCAGATCAGTTAACCTCAACTGTGAAAAGGTGATTATAATAATAGTGAAGTTGTTTTTTTGTAGCTCTGGCCTGTGTAGGTTTGAGAATAAGTAAAACAGAGAAATCTTAAGGGCTTTAAAATATGGGGATTCTGGCTGACCCTAATGAAGTTTAAGCCAATCCAAAGGAATACATTTTTGTGGATTTATTTATAGCTATCACTTGATCTTTCTAGAGTATTATAAGTACTGACAGACATTTGAAAATTTGATGAAAACTGTAGACCTCCCAAGAAAGATACATCCAGTCCCTTTACACACAATAGATTTGAATATAGTTTCAAAGGGTTGAAGAACCCCTTGAAGTCTCAGGATAAAAATCTTTGGCATATAATAATAATGAATTCTAATATTTATAGAGCAGGTAAGTGCAATAGTGGAGAATTGAATCCCAGAATTCTGAGACCAGTGGCTACGCTGCTTACTACACCACTACCTCCCCATTAAGGTTTATCCCTCCTTAACATGCCAGTCCTAATAACTGATGGTGTTATGAGGAGAGAGGGGAGAAACTAACATGCAAATGTGATCTTCCTCCACAATTCTGAGATGGTTATCTCATCTAGTGATCTTATCTTCCTCTTATATGCTTTAGCCTCTTATGGCAAATAATATACGTCCAATAGCAGTGAGAATATCTACAGGTAGATCCTAATGCTCCCGAAAACTTACTCTCAGATATTGCTCTCCATTCCACTACACAACAATCATCAAAATAACGTAAATCCTACGAACTCTGCCTAAACACAAATATATTTTACCGATATTTATTGAGTCCTTACTCAATAGATAGGGAGGATGGAGTAGTGAACAAAACAGACAAATCTGTGTGTTCTTATGGAACTTATGTTTTAGTGAAGGAGACAGACAATAAACCAAGAGAAGTAAAATATATTAATATATTAGCGGTAAGTGTTAAAGAGAAAAAATAAGGAAGAAAGAGGAATATGAAATGGTAGATGTTGGAGGTTGGTAGGGGTTGAAATTTTAGATAAGAAGAACTCAGAAGTGAATATCCATGTAAAATAATTGATGGCAGAATGAACTTAGTATAGTATGAATTTCCCATCAAAACTATCTGCTATCTTGGGGCCAGACTGGTGGCATTGTGGTTAAGTTCGCATGTTCTGGCTTGGCTTCAGCAACAGAAGGGGGCACCTAGGCAGATCCCAGTGGACTCCATGAGTTTAGGAAATGGAGCTGATGTCTGGGGAGACCAAGGCAGCTAGAGTTCGATGGATGGAGTACTGGAGAGGAGAGAGCAGCACAGACAGAGAACACAGGAAATATTGAGTACTGATCAGTGCATATGTGTGAGAAAATGACTCAAGTTTGAGGGAAAAACCTCAGAATGATTAGAGGTCTCATATCCTAGTGCTCACTAAGGACCAACAAGTGCCAGTACTCACCAGCCAACTGGTTCATGGGGTGTGGGATAAGGTCAATATTGGGAAACTACATAATACCCTTCTAAACAGCCCATTAGTTGAAGAAAAACTTAAAAGTGAAAATAATATTTTTAACTAAATGAAAATGAAAACAGCATATGAAAGTTTGTGGTGCCACTAAAGCAATACTTATGGGGAGTTTATAACACTAAACATCTGCATTAGAAAAAAGAAAATAAGAAAGACCTAAAATCAATGACTTTAGCTTCCACCTTCAAAAACTAGAAAAAAGGAGGAGAGTAAACCCAAAATATGTAAGAGAAAGGAAATAATAAAGATCAAAGCATAAACTATGAAATATAAAACAAGAAAATTTTAGATAAAGAAATGAAACCAAAAGCTGTTTCTTTGAGAAGATTAATAAAATTGATAAATTTCTAGCCAAATTTAACAAAAAAAATAGAGAGAAGACACAAATTACCAATAGTGGGAATAAGAAAGGTGACATTATTGTGGATTCTATAGATTTTTAGAGGATTATAAAGTAATATTATTAACAGCATTATGCCAATAAACTTTGATAAAACTTTCTTAAAAAACACAAACTATCAAAGCTTACAAGAAGAAACAGATCACTCAAATAGCCCTATATCTAGTAAAGAAATCAAATTTTTAGTTTAAAAAATACTTTTCACAGACTAAATTCCATTGGCAAGTGACTTCATTGGTGGATTCTGCCAAACATTTTGGATAGAAATAAGAACAGTTCTGTATAAATTTCCAGAAAATTGAAGAGGAAATTTCTCTCAACGCATTCTATGAGGTTGGTACTACTCAAATAGCAAAGATTGACAGGGATGTTATAAAAATAGAAAGCTACAAACCAATATCCCTCATGATGAACCTATATAGATGTAAAAATTCTAAATAAAACTTAGGCAAATCAGTCTCCTCAATGTGTAGAATGAATATACATCATGACTGAGTGAGGTTCATCCCAGGAATGCAAGGCTGGTTTAACATTCAGAAATTGATCAATGTAATTCACCATATTAAGAAACCAAAAAATGAAAAATCAAATGATCATCTAAATAGATGCAAGAAAAGTATTTGACTAAATCCAAATTCTACTCCTGACCAAAAA